GTCTTCAGACCATGGAGTGAAAGCCATCAAAGGCAGACCATCCCCACACACGTGGTGGCAGGGCTGCCAGGGAGCCCTGGGAAGCAGAACCAGGCTCAATAAGGAAACTGGCCATGGCTTTCTAGGCCGACATCAAAAGAACACGAGGCTACTCCCACTGCTGTTCTACCTTTACCACTGGCAGCAGCCAAGAATCAAATTCACCACAGGAGAGAACCACAACAAGGGTAACTCCCTGAGGCCGGAAAAAGTGTCCCTCAGGTCATAAGTCCTGTTTAAATATCTCAGCAATATCCCAAACTGAGATAATTATTGCTAATTACAAGATCATTTTTATGTAAACATGAAGGGTAATACCACGCATACTTCATCTCTTTTTAATTAAAAGAAGTAAGAGGTTCACTGAGATAAAAAAAAAGACATGCTGACAGCTCCCACCCAAAAGCAGACTTTTCTGCAGTGATAACACCCATCAGCCTCCAGACCCACTGAGAAGACTGAACAGGGAAATCAATCAGCATCAGCCTCCCCAGTGCTGAAATGAAGCAGTTGGCACATTATTAATCACATAGGAAAAACGTTTTACGAAGAGAAGGAAAGGACCAGACACACAGAAGGGGATACACATGGATTCAGTCATGGCTGTCTTAAAAACACTTGGGAAAATCACACAAATCACCAGCTGTAGAATTAAAATACTTCAGAGCTGCGAGGGATAAGCACATCAGCAATTCTGACTACAGCAACTCTTTAGCTGAGCCCACACCAAACCTCATGTGCTTTCCTCCATTCAAAACCAGTTCCTGCTCCAAGGTGCACATCCTACCCATGCCAACCAGACTGAAGTACATTGTGACACAGCCTCACCACGAGTTCGTGCACCCTTTCTGCATCTCAAAGACCCATCCAGGAGCAACCCGCACATCACAAGAGAGATATGACCACCCAGCTTAGGACACTGAAACAGTAAATGGCTTGACTTGTCATGCAATGGCTTAACAAGCCATTCCTGCTGCACAGTCCTGTTTCCAGCTGTCCTAAGCATTTCTCCAGCAGCTCCAGAGTTCGCCAGTCCACTCTGACTTCTCATCGCCTCTTGTGTCTCCAGGCAATTTAAAACACATCCCCAGTTAGGACCGGTGTGGGCCAAGCAAGCCATCGGATGCACCTTGACTCGGGGTGAAGACGCTGCAGCTCCGGCCGCCGCACCACCCTTTGCAGGGCAGCAGGGCGCAGGCAGCCTCGGCACGCCGCAGAGCCCCGGCGGCGAGCGTCCCTACGAGCGAGGGAGGTGTCACCAGCTCCGCAGAGCCGCATGCTCGCAGAACGGGGAACCTCGCTCACTTGCTCACAGATACAAATACCTGCGCCTCCGCCACCTGCCTGCCCCCTCCGCGCCTCGCTCCGGGCCTGGCGACGCCTGGCACCGACACGGAGCCGGTCTCTCCCGGGGGTGTCCGAGCCCAGCAGGTATCTGCTTTGGCAAAGACTGGGGAGTCTGCGGCTCCCCGTTTGAAGCATCACAGGAGCGGCGTGAGGGATGCAAGGGGATGAGGAAAGACGGGAGCAGTGGGCTGCAAACTGGGGGCGCTGAGAAGAGGAGGTGAACACGGCTGCAGCTAAGGGATATGGAGGGGAGCGGGACGGCAAGGGGGGGAAGGAAAAAGGGCTGCAGCTTGGCGGGGGGACACAGGAGGAGTGCACAGTGGGTGCAGGGCAGGGGATGGAGGGCAAAGGG